ATAATTAAGTCTGATCGTAGGTCATCTTGACTATCAGCTGGTAAACACCAGCACTTGAGAGGATGAAGCAGGAGGACTGTTGTGAGTTTGAGGCCATCCTGGGCTACGCAGTGAGACCCTGTCTCAAAAAAATAAATAAATAAATAAATAAATGAGCATCTCTATCAGATTTGAAAAGCATGGTCCTGTGGGCCTATAGAGAAAAATGTTACCTAAGCAAATGTAAAAGACTTTTTGAAAAGATAATACAAAAAGTAAGTAAGCTTTTCAGAAGCATTGCCCACTTCTAGAGCAGTAAGTAAGTCCCCACAACAAGGACTAGATAGGACAGTAGAAATAAAAGCTAGAAGGCAGACTTTGTGAAGAATCTGGCTGGAAAGAGAATTTAGATCTGTTTGCAAAATAGCTCCCTTTTCTTTTCCTCCTCCTTTCCTTGAGTTTAGAAGTTAGCTGCAGGAGGCAGTTGGAGGTGTGGGGAACTGTCAGGCACACTCCACAACTGGGCACATTAGTGCAAGGCCCCTTGATAGTGGTGTTTATAATGCTATATGAGACTAAGACAGTCTTTAGAAGCTTGGAAGGGTGTTAGGGAAAGTACAGAGAAACCAGAAAGTCAGCTGAAGGTAAGGACTACAAGAAACACTGAGTCCTCCAGGAAGACCTGGATTTCAGTTATGGAAAACTCTTAGAGAAAGCGTCCTGTGATGAAAAAGAGGGTGCAGGAGGATTTGGAGAGGGCAAAGTGCAAGGCCCAAGTGCAAGGCCCCTCTTTGGATTGATTGACTGGCTTCAGTTTCATCCCCGATCTCCAGTGTTTCCCCATCCTTCAGCTAATATCGTGTTGCTAGTTCTCTAGCTCACAGGTACTAGAACTTCTGTTACATTTTTATTTTGTGTAAAGAAAACACTACAGCATTATATATACTGCTTTTGTTCTATTTCAAGGAAAGCAAAACAAGGAAAAGAAAATTTATGGAGAGAAAGTCTTAGAAAGGAGGAAGAAGAGAAACAAAAGCGACTTCAGGAAGAAAAAACACAAGAAAAATTGCAACAAGAGGAGCAAAAAACTGAAGAGAAACACTGTAAGGAAAAAATAAAAATGGATTTGGTCCTCTTAAGGCAAATCAGCAATCTAAGGAGAGACAGAAAAAAGAATTAAAAAGATGCTAATCTTAGAAAAAATATTTAAAATTAACCTTGGATGAGAAGTATGTAGGCCTTTTAAAACAGTGGGCATAAATCTTATGACCGCAGGAGCAAAGAAGATAGTTTACCACTGACTAACTGAAAAGACCCAGGCCTGGCTTTCATAAGTACCGAAAATAGTTTTGAATATTTTATTCAATCACTATAACTAAGCTATTTATTTTTAATGAACTAACAGTAAAATTTTAAGGTTTTGCACATTGACTTTTTCTCAAAAGAAATACTTCATTTTTGACATCCCTGCAAGGCTCTTCCTATAGCAGTTTAGTATGATTGCATCCTCTTTTGCATGCATAAACCTGTCAGTTCATATTATCAGTACAATGTGTTCATAATTTTACAAACTACAACATCTATTCTAAGAATGAACGAGTTTTAATCTTATCAAGCCAAGTGGATTTTTCTTCAGCCAACCTGTCTTACTAGTTGATGTTATTTGTGACCCTTTGTGCTTTTTTTCCCTCTTGTGCTCTGACCCCCACAGAGGAAACCCTGCTTAATCTCCTTCCACTGTGTACAGCGTGGCCTGGTCACTGCTCCACCCTCCCCTCAGACCCCGCACGTGCCTCAGCCTGCACGTCCTCCCTTTGTTTTACTGCCTCCTCCCTTATTTGAGACGAACATCCTTCTTTGCTTTTATATTAATTATATGATTAGTTGGGACATTTAAGTTCTAACAAGTCTTTGTCAAGTGAATTTTCTTTGTACCTTTTTGATGCTCAATTTTTTCTTTTAGATTTTAAGAGGTCTTTAAGTCATAGCAAAGATGTGTATATATGTAAGCAGCAACTTATAACATTACCTTCTCTTTAGGTGAGACAGCTACTGCTTTGGTGAATTATAGAGCATTATACCCCTTTGAAGCAAGGAACCATGATGAGATGAGTTTCAATTCTGGGGATATAATTCAGGTGGGAAATAAAGTCTTTTTTTCTCCTGAATAAGCTGAATACATTGTAAAACATTACTTTCTATAATAATGCATTGACCAAAATTTTTCATAATTTTTGTTATTGTTTGTTTATTTGTTTTTTGAGACGGTCGCACTGTATAGTTCAGGCTGGCCTTAAATTCACTATGTAGTGCAGGCTCGCCTCAAACTCACAGTGATCCTTCTGCCTCTGCCTCCTGAGTGCTGGAACTACAGGCATGTGCCACACCATGCCTGGCGATAGCTATTTTCTTAAAGTATTTCATAAATATTACCTCATTTGGCCCTTAGAACATGCTTCCTGTGTAACATACCTGTGCCACAGATCTGCATAGAACAGTTATTATTACTACCATATTCTAGGCAAGGAAGCTTAGACTCACACAAAGTATAACTGTCAGCATTGCAGTACCAGAGTGGAATACAAGTATTATTGCTTTAAATCATAAAAGGTGATGATTTTATTATTTTAATAAATTAAAAATAAAATTTTGAAGGTGGGTGTGGTGGCACTCACATGTAATCCCAGCACTCAGGAGGCTGAGGCAGGGGGATCACCATGCGTTCTAGGCCAGCCTGAACTACCTAGTGAGACCCTGTCTCAAAAAATCAAGAAAAGAAAAGAAAATTTTGAGAGACTGGTTATTTTTGGTAACTGTTAAAAAGAACTAGAGTTAGGTTCTTCAACCCTAACTGGATATAAGGTATTTCTCCCTTGGAACAAAGGTCTTTATTGTATTACCACAATCTGTACAGTGTGTGAATAAGAGAGGATTCAAGGAGTCACATTTGCTGGAGCTAGTGGAATATAAGAGAAACAGCGTAGGTTTTAGAAGCTGCAAAGTTGAACTTTAGTTTCTGTATGGTATGTGAATTATATCTTAACAGGCCATTATTTAGAAACAGAAAAGAGTTGAACATGCACTTTCTATCTGACTCAGCCATTCCACACTTAGATACTTCCCCATGTGAATTGAAAGGGTATACCCATATGACGGGAAATGTTCATAGCAGCTTTATTTTTACTAGCTAATGACTGGAAGCAACTCAGATGTTTATCAGCATGCAGGAGGATAAGCAGAGGGTGACATATCCATATGGTGTAATAACTCAAGCAGTAAAAGGAATGAGTGCGATGGTGAACATCAGGATGTACTGCAAACATGTATTAACAAAAGTTAAAATTTGAGAAAAAGAAGGGATGACTCACTTATACTCATTATAACATGGATAGATCTCAGCATAATTGAGTGAAAGAAGGTGAAAAGGAAAAAGAACACATACTGTATGATTTTATTTATATAAAATCCTAGAAAGTGTGGACTAATCTATAGTGAGAAGCCAGGATTGACGATGGAATGAGAAGAAACTTGGGGGTGATGGGTGTATTCATTATCTTGAGTATGGTGATTTTTCACAGGTGTATAAATATTTTATAACATTGAATTTAACATTTTAAATGTGAAATTAGTGTTAACTATACCCTACTGGAGTGGAGAAGAGACACAGTTGCCATGTTTATTCAGTGAAGTAAGCAGATATTTACTACGCTAGATGGACTCAATACAAAGGCTCACAGACAAACAGAATATATGTGCACGTAAGCAATACAGTGTGATGCACTACTCATGACAGTGTAGATGACATAACTCTGGCCTGATTTGGTGTAAGTTAACAGAATCTTCAAGGATCAGTAGAGATAGTAATCTCAGGTACAAAATGAAAAGGAGTAGCTGGATTTGGTGGTGCACTTTGGTAGTACCAGCACATTGGGAGGCTGAGGATTGCAAGTTTGAGCCCAGCCTGGCCAACTTAGTGACTTAGTGAGACCCTCTCTCAAAAATAAAAATAATTTAGAAAGAACTGGGGAAATAGCTCAGTGTGAAGCCCTTAGGTTTAATTCCCAGTAACACACACCACACCCACGTGCGCGCGCACACATACACACAGCCTTAAAGAGGTTAGTGAGAGTAGGTTTTAAAAGAAAATTCAGAATTTTTTAGTGACAAAGTCCCTGGCTATAGAAGTGTAAGAAATAAGAGCCAGAGATTTTTGTTTACTTAGAATGACAAAGTGTAAGAATAATAAAACTGTAGAGCATTTAGGATAAAGAGTGAGCTAGGGATGAGTGGATATGGAGTGAAGTTCAGTCTTAGCCTTGAGTTGGAAATTCCCATGGGACATCCAGGTAAAGCTGTCTGGGAAGGAGTGGAAAGCAGAGACTGTTTCTTACAACGAAGTCAGTCCTAAGAACAGAGCTTTGGAATTCACTGTTACATAGGAAACTGATCACACTGGGAGCACATGGGCCTGTTCCAGAAACAACAGCATGAGGCAAGAAAGCCAGCGGTGAAACTGACCCGATGATGCACCATTTGGAAAATAGTTTTCAGGGGTTTTCTAGTTACGGGTTCGGGAAGACTGTGTAGGAACAAAGAGAACTAAAAGACAAAATAATGATTAGTTATAAGGAAATAAAAAGTATAAGAAACAAAATGTCATCGGCACAGTATTGCTAGACTCAGACGTTACTTACGTAGTCATAATAATATAAACATTAAATATAATTTAAACAGAAATTATTATGTAACAATATTGGTAGAGTAAGAGAGTACAGTGAGAGGTAAATTTTCATTTTCCATGACCAAAAGCCAATAAATAATCTTTAAAACTGAAAAAAATTGAAGAACTAACAGGAGAAACATGCCATTTAGAAATTCAGAAGGTGATACAGAGCAAACCAAGAAGAATGGCAAGTTACTATTGGCAGTGGAAATTGGGGCATAAGGAGCCTGGGTTTCAAGAGATTGTTTTCCCGTGTAAGCTGCATATAATACTGTTTGTCTTTGTATTTACTTAGCTAAAATAGCAACCTACTAATTTGTAGAAAAAGCCTTAACATTAGTTAAATAGATTCAATTCTGAAAATGAGAATGCTGTACAGTAGTCTGTACCTTTTTCTGTTGTAAATATGTGGGTTTCTAAGCTATGTTAATAATTCTTTTTTGTTTTCACAGGTTGATGAAAAAACCATAGGAGAGCCTGATTGGCTTTATGGCAGTTTTCAAGGAAAATTTGGCTGGTTTCCAGGCAACTATGTAGAAAAAATGCCATCAAGTGAAAAAGCTGTGTCTCCTAAGAAGGCCTTACTTCCTCCTACAGTGTCTTTATCTGCTACCTCAACTTCTTCTGAGTAAGTTTTGAGTTGACAGTGAAATTTCTATAAATGCTAATATGTAGTTATATCAGCCTGATATTTCCTCATACTGTTAATTAGGGTTGCACTTGCCAAGAGAACCTTTTGTTCTCACTCTAGTACGGAAATTTATCAAATGAAAACATGAATCAGTAGTTTATTCATGAATTCTTTTCTCCCACAAATTGTATTTAAACTTAGTGTATATGACATACTAGTAGATAAGTTGGTAGTACTTCATCACAGTCTAAACAGTTAAATATATTAAAGTGTTATATTTGCAGACCACTTTCTTCAAATCAACCAGCATCAGTGACTGATTATCAAAATGTATCTTTTTCAAACCTAACTGTTAATACATCATGGCAGAAAAAATCAGCTTTTACGCGCACTGTGTCCCCTGGGTCCATATCACCTATTCATGGACAGGTATGTTGTGTGTAATTTTTGTGTGCTTTATTCTTTGAATTTGCTCTGATTCATATGAAATTGAATGAAGACTTTGTTCAAAGGCGTTATCCATTCATTTCACCAAAGTACCCATTTTCTGTTCTTAACATGCACATGTGAAGTTAAGTTGAACAATGATTATTACACAGTTTTCAGTAATTAATTGCCACAGTACCAAGTGAAAGAGATGAGATTTTGGGCTTGAGGGGTTTTTGCTTTTTAAAATAAATAATTTATCTGAGAACCTTAGAACTTTGTTATATGTAGTTAGTCTCCGAATTAGATATAACCATTGCAGGTATTGTCACCTTAACATTTCTAAGAAGAAATTGCAGGCTTTATCACAATAAAATCCTATAGGATTCACCTTCACTCATAAATATTACTAGCATTTTATTGTGCATAGAAGTTTAAGGGAAAAGAAGTCAAAAATCCCTCCCTTTAAGTAGATCATAACCTAATAAAGGAGATAGACATACAAATAAAGATAAAATGTGAGAAATGTAATAAAGATTCTTACAGAGTCCTGAGAGAACATCTTCGTCTGGGAGTGGGAGTAGTCTTCACTAAAGGAAGATACTTCAGTAGCCCTTCAAGATAAGCAAGATTTCACCAGCAGAAGTTATTGTAGTGAAAGAACAGTTTGGGGAGTTGCTGAAGCACAGCAATTTAAGCTACCATATTTCCCCAAAATTAAGACCAGGTCTTAAATAACTTTTGCTTCAAAAGACCCAATAGGGCTTATGTTCAGGGGCTGTCTTATTTTTCATGTACAACAATCTACATTTATTCAAATACCGTCATTGTGTCCTCTTCTTGTGGAACATTATCATAACTTTCCAAAGGCAAATTCTGGCCTGAATTCCTTCAACTCCATTTCCTGTAGAACCATTGACCCCAGTCTCTCACATCCAGCAGTAGAGCTCTCCTTCACTGAGCACTTCAGATCCATGTAGCCTGTGTGGCGCATTGACAGCAGAACTGTCAGTGATTTTATCCCGTGAGTTCTTCACCCAAGTCATGACCTTTAGGAGGCCTTACCAAGTTTCCATTAAATCCAGTGTTAATTGAAGACTTAGGAGACAGGAATGACAACAAAAAAGATGATATTTAAGAATGATGGTCCACACAAGAGTGAAGAAAAATTGCAGGCACCAAAATTCAGAAAACATTTTTTTATTTCACACAAGTGGATTAAGTGCATCTGTTACAATATATGATGTATTGAGTTATAAAGATTCATATAGACACATCTGCATACATCCATTGTCAAAGGCACACATTATTCATGCGTTGTGTCTGTGCTTTGATTAGTCATTGGCAAGAAATCTCAAGTCCATCTGTTTACATAGGTGATTACCTCTCATCCAAAGACACTCACTTGGGTATTTACAACTACTTAATTATAACTTATATTGTCATTTATTTTAACTGTTAATGCCAGTGGTATTTATTTATATTTAATTATATATTAATATTATAATTTGATATATCTGTCATGTGTTTCAACAAAGTATGTCCATGCGGCTGATGATCTTAACTGGAGCTTGTTGTGGGGGTAGGGCTTATATTACAATCATCCTCAAAAACATCATGCTAGGGCTTATTTCATGATGGGGCCTTCTTTTCAGGGAAATACAGTATGTGTGGGAAATGAGAATAGCTTATATTACAGCTAAAATACAGGATTCATGAAGATGTTTAAGAGGTGAAGTTCAGGTTTATTGATGATGCATTTAATACCATATTAAGCAACTTGGCAGTGACAAGCGAAGAGAGGTTTCTAAGAAAGGAGTTGATGGTATGCTTAAGAAAAACAACCCTGGTGGTAAGGTAGAGGCTGTATCAGCAGAAAGAAGCAAAAGAAGATGATTAGTTAAGAGGGGCTAATACAATAACTAAGTAATGAGATGTGGTGTGAACCAGTGCTATAGTAATAAAAATAGATAGACTAGTATTAGGAATTAACATAAAATAGTTCATTGAAAGTGGAGAGTGAAAAAGAGGTGGAGTTAAAGATAATTCTTCAGAGAATTTAACTTGAGCAACTGAAAGAACAATGATGTCATTGTCTTTGACAGGCAGTGCAGGCAGAGTGGGTGTGGTGTCCTAAACCCTAAGAGCAATTACATTTCAGACATGGTAACTAGGTATCTGTAGTAGAGACAACCAGTGGGAGTGCCCAGTAGGTATTTCAATGTATAAGTTGAGAGCTCACTGAGAAGTATAGATTTATAGACACAAAAAGATTATTCAGCAAGTTATGTGGCACAGTAAGGGAAGAGAGTTGCACAAGAGAAACCCTTAATTATCAGAGTGAGCTTCAGGAACTACAACAGTTTTAGTAACATCAGCACTGTTCAGAGATCAGGAGAGGAGAGTTTTGGAAGAAGCTTTTTACTTTGATGTTATTGTTCATAACCTTGTCTGCAAAAGGTTCATTAGCCTGATGATACAAAACCCAAATTGTAAGGGATTGAGGGGTGACCCTGGAAAACAAGTTTAAGACAATTCTTTCTTTAGGGAATTTAGACACAGAAGAAATTAGAGAAAAGAAATGAAGACTGCTAAGAGGGACTTACTGATTACAAAATACTTTTAAAACATGAGAAGGCGTAGTAGAGCAGAACAGGATGTTCTAAATAGAGTATTTAGAATACTCGTGAAGAGGTTAGCTTTGAATGTGTCCTTGAGTGATCACCATTTACCTCTGTACCAGTGATGGTTTCTGAATGGCAGGTGTTGGGAGAGTCTTACACCTGATTGCATTGTCCCTCTTTGCAGTTAAGTCACCACCACACCGAACAGCTGTTTGAACAGTAAGTATATTATCCACTAGGAAGCTGACATCTTGGTTACTGTGGTATTTTACTTCCTTTCTCTGTGTGTGTGATCCTGTATTCACAGGGGCAGGTTGTAGAAAACCTGAAAGCACAGGCCCTTTGTTCCTGGACTGCAAAGAAAGATAACCACTTGAACTTCTCAAAGCATGACATCATTACCGTCTTAGAGCAGCAGGAGAATTGGTGGTTTGGGGAGGTACACGGAGGGCGAGGATGGTTTCCGAAATCTTACGTCAAGCTCATTCCTGGGAGTGAAGTAAAGCGTGGAGAGTAAGTGTCTGTGTTTACATGAGATGTGGATGTTGGTGCTCTCACTAAAAGTCAGCCATTGTGTGACAGACTTGCCATGATGAAAGCGTGTGCTTGAGTTTGGTATGCAAAAGGTCATTCTTAAGGTAAAAAGTCATTCTGAAGATGTTTGTGCCAGCTTTAGACTATTCTTCTAGTCTTTTTTCAGATTTGTGAAATTTTCTAAGTATTGTACTTAAGAGTTTAGATGTATTGCCTTCTTTGTGCCATAAGCTTAATTAGAAAAGTTATTTTTCATTTCCTTCTTGGCATTTCTCCCTTGTTTACTAAACATTTTTAATCTTTAAATAATTCTTTTTTGTTTTATTTTTGCACTAGAGATTGAACCAAGGGCCTTCACACTAAGCTAAGTCCCTAACACTTTTTATTACCCAGGTGGGGCTTCAACTTGTGATCCTCCTACCTCAGCCTCCCAGGTGCTGGAATACAGGTGTACTCCATAACACCCAGCTTTTAAATAATTCCTGACTGAGGTCCTTACCTTTACCAGCTTGGAGCATTCCTGTCTCTGGGCCTCCAGGGTTCCTTATAGCATCACTGTTGCACATAACATGTAGCATTATACTTACTGACTCTTTAAACCTATATTGTTACTGAGGAACCTCATGGGACTTCAGGTCCATCTCTTTTGGTTTTTTTGTTTTTTTTTGTTTTTTGTTTTTTTTTTTGGTTTTTTTTCCGGTACCGGGAACCGAACTCACGACCTTGCGCTTGCCAGGCAAGCGCTTTGCCGCTGAGCTAAATCCCCAGCCCCTGGGTCCATCTCTTTTGTTGCTGTTATTTATTTTTCAATTTTTTCATGCCTAGTACAATCTTAGCACATAATAGCTGTTGAATTATACTAGCTCAGTAAATAAGGTAAGAAATAAGTAATCAAATGAATGAACTTTCAGATGAGCAAAACCAAAATCTAGAGAGTTAAGGTCTCTGGCCTTTATTTCCTAGTCTGTAGGGAAATCAAGTTATCAAATATTCCTGGATGTGCTGGCATACTCCTGTAATCCCAGCACTCAGGAGTCTGAGGAAGGAGGATCAATGTGAGTTCAAAGCCAGCCTGTACTACATAGCAAGACCCTTTCTCAAAATAAACAAAACAAAAAGTTACCATATATCTTCAATACAAAGAAATAAGTACTGTATAATATTGCTATGGGTAACTATCTTGTGTAGTCATGGAAGCTGATGTAGATAGAAAGCAGCCTGACATAATGAAAGGTCACGTGGCTTGAATTCTGGTTCTGCCATTCTTTCCAGACCATGCAGAGTAACCTTTGGTCTTTAGTTTTAACTGATTAAATGAAAAGATTGGGCTAAATGGTCTTTAAGAAGTCTTTCAGTGCTGAATTTCTGCTTAACAATATTTACTTCAAATACAGGAATTTGCTTTTCAAACTAACATGGAATTTTGGAAGTATGAAATAGTAGTACTAGAAAACATAGCTGAAATTTATGTGCTGACATTGTGCTTGGCCCTTTATAGGAAATATCTTATTTAATCTCCTTAACGTTTTACCCAGAAGAATACTTAAGCAAAAAGAGATGAAGTTTACATGTTTTAGAGGGCATTTCTTCTAACTTCCCATGCAGTTACCTGTTCTTTCTAAAAGCTCGAAGTCGTGTAACTGAGAGCAAGCAGTAATGGAGCACTCGGTACCGGACAAGGCAGTCTCTTCAGTCCTGGCCATGAGTTTTAGTAAGGTTTCCCTTCTGTCCACTTGAAAACTGCTTCGCTCATCCTGTAAACTGGTACCTAGTTTGTAAACCTGAGTCTTCCTGACTTTTGAAAACAGTTTTCCTAGATTAAAATGGAAATTAAAGTTACACCTGTTCTGAGATCTAAGAAAGATTTTATTACTCTTATACTTTTAATGTAATACACTGTAAACAAAAAAAAGCCATATATTGCCCAAGCCAAGCCCTGTAAATGCTTTCTCAAAGACCCACTTACTGATGTGCCGGTATCTTTTAGCTTCCTTCTGAAAGACACATTTTCTCACATTTGAAACACTGTAAATCATACTGAACTTACTTTAATGTAAAGTGTAGAAGTTTATAACTAGGTAGGTCTTTCTGCAGAAAGATTTTGTGTATGAGAGTATTGCTAGACTGTACTGAGACACTGAATTAATTTGAGAGTGCTGTATTCATCCAATCACCACTCTTGTTTTTTTTGCTTGTTTGTATCTTTTTCATTTGTTTCATTGTTGTTTCTTATGGTGTATTTATTTGGCAGACCAGAAGCTTTGTATGCACCTATAAATAAGAAACCTACCTCCACAGCCCATCCAGTTGGAGAAGGTGAGCTTTTGGCAGTCATAATTAGATGGGAGTCATTTTAGTAACAGACTCATTATTTGACTTCACACATTGTTATTCTCCCTGTTTCTGTATCCTTATTATTAAAGTGAGGTTAGGAAAATGTGCTATATCTATTCACATTATGAAAATACAGGGAAAACATGGCTTGGCACTTTCAGGAAGTCTGTGCTAAAAAATGTCAGCATATATATATAGATAGATGATTGTAGATTTTTAGGAGATAAGAAAATTTCACTACATGTACTTGTCTACAAACTGCATCTCGATTAATGTGCCATATAAATCCCTAGTTAGGATTGGAAATTATGGTAGTCTATAAATACGCAAAGAGGGCCAGGGATATAGCTCAGTAGCACAAGTGCCTGCCTGGGAAGCAGAAGGTCCTGAGTTCAGTTCCAGGTGCCAGAAAAACAAACAAATAAATAAATACTGCAAAGAATTTTTTTGGATAGCCTTTTGAGTTCAGTTAATAAATTAGTTTGATTTTGTTAATATGAAAAATGAAAGATTATCTATCCTAATTGCAGACAATATTTCTGTTTAATAGTTACTTAGATTTATAATTGTAATGTATATGTCCATTATAACATTCAAGAGTTGAAGTACGTTCCATCATTCCATGTTTTGCTAAAAAAAATCAATTTAATGACAAATTAGTTCATTTAATATTTACAAGATTCTGTGTTAACGCCTAAAAGATACAAGAATAAGACATACTCTCTAAACTGCTCATGTTAGAATGGAGAGGATGACCCTTTGGCCGTGATAGCAAACTTTTTAGGGCTTTCAGTGATATCAGCCCGCTATGGCATGTGTACCATAGGTTCGCCACCACTGGCCTATAGTTATATACATTTCTGTAATTAGTGAACAAAGAACAACTTAGGTCTGAGTAGGAGCCGTGACTCCCAAAAGGTAGCAGTGTTGCCTCATCATCAGCAGTGAGTAGGACCTTGTACAGGGACAGAAGAGAAGAGGCTTCTGGACACAGGAAATGGGCTGAGGTGTAGCCCCAAAATGGAGGGAACTGAGGTCTCCAGTGATGCTGCCATCATGGGTGTTCTATGGAATGAGGGCTGTGAATGGAACCTAGGAAATAGCGAGGAACATTTTGATCTGAGCGGAGTGTGGTGGCACTAAGTTGCTGAGGCTGGGTTTGAGTTTGCGATCCTCCTGCCTCAAGTCCCAGAGTACTGGTATTATAGGCATGTGCCACCACACCCACTCAGATCTTTTTATACCAGAGGGCAAGGTCTCTTATGATAAACATATATAAGATCTTGTAGATTAACCTTATTTCTTTATTACTTCTGTAACATTCCAATGAAAATCCACATCTTTTACTTTGTTCCCTACAGAATATATTGCACTTTATCCATATTCTAGTGTAGAACCAGGAGATTTGACTTTCACTGAAGGTGAAGAAATACTGGTGACACGGAAAGATGGAGAATGGTGGACAGGAAGTATTGGAGACAGAACTGGAATTTTCCCATCAAACTATGTCAAACCAAAAGATCAGGAGGTACTGTAATTTTGGTATTAAAAGAAAGTCATTCTATTCTTATTGTTCAGGATTCATACTTAAAACAGAGATTGTATGTATGGTTTTAGTCGGCCTGCTTTGGTTACAAGGAAGCTATTCAAGATAACTCTAATGCCGTAGATTTTATTATAGGGTTCCAGTTAGAAGATGAGGGCAAGGGAGTTTTATGAAATTCTAGGAGCAAGAGTCAGAGGTAAGGTTGAGCCTCATGACATCCAGAACTAACGAGGGGTTCTGGATCCATTGCTTGATAGAGGGCCATAAAGGAGTCCCTAACCCTGTACTTTAGGGCACAACATTAATATGACTCATGCTGCACGCTGAAGTTCCTGCTGCTTTTAATTTTGTCACCAATATGGTATAAAGCAGTTCTCAGACTTTCTGGATTCTTAAAAATTACTGGTCTGGGCATGGTGGTTCACACCTGTAATCCCAGCACTTCGGAGGCTGAGGCAAGAGGATTGCTGTGAGTTTGAGGCCAGCCTGAACTACATAACAAGACCCTGTCTCAAAAAAAAAATTATTGATGACCATCTCAAAGGGTTTTTTAAAAGTATGTATTTGGTTTATAGATTATATTTAGTTATATTTACCATATTAGAAATTAGAATAGAAGTTATTTAGAATTATTTGTTTTTTAGAATTATTAGTTATTAGAATGAAGTTATTTAAATATTTATTAATTCATTTAAAAATAATAGTTAAATCCACTATATGGTAACATAAAGAACTTTTTATAAAAAAACACTATATTTTTCAAGAAAAATATTCAGTAAGAGTGGCATTATTTTGTATTTCTGCAGATCTCTTTAATGTCTGGCTTAATTGAAGATAGCAAGAGTCTCAAATCTCTTTATGTGTTCAGTCTGTTATTACATCTTAAATAAGGAAAATTCTACCTGCTACAGATATGGAAGAAAATGGAGACATATTTTAATAATTGCAGATGTCTGTGGATATTCTTTGACCTGCTATACAAAACTTAACAAGTGCTAACTTATTATAGGCGAGGTACAACATGGAATCTAAAGCCATATCAATGAATATTGCTTACTGTTACGTTAAAATTCATTAGTCTGTTTTGCACATTGAATGAATCTTTTACCCACGTGAAACGCAGCAACAGTCACTGTTCATTTGGAAATTATTGAACCACTGAACTATGCAGAGGTTTTCTGTATGGACACACTTCATTAAATGATATGAAGAAGTCACACTGATTAATATCATCACTCATCAGAAAAGTCTGGAGAGCAGTCACACACGTTTGAATTTTATCATTGGCAATAGGTCCTACCAGCTATTTTCCTTGAAGTGAAAGGTTTACTTCATTTTGAGAAAACACTTGCTAAATTGCAAGTCTAAATAATTTTTTTTTAAGTAAAGTTTTTTTTAAGTAAAAATGTTCCATGAAAACAACTTAGCTTACAATTTATTCACACAAGTCCTTTTCCTTGAGACAAACATTGTACTTTCTACGCAGCAGAAATGTTTGTTTGTGTTTTGCTTTTTTGAGAGAAGATCCCACTGGATAGTTCTTGCTGACCTTGAACTCACTTTGTAGCCCAGGCCGGCCTTGTATTTGTGGAGATCTTCTTGCCTCAGCCTCTCAAGGACTGGGATTACAGGCATGCCTGGCTGCAGGAGAAATATTTTAGGCACACTTCTGTTTAGTCACACAAAATCATTAAAGATGTTTACTTAAGGATTAAGAGTTAATAAAATTTCCTGTATCTTATCAAGGACATCCCTTAAATGAAACTGGCTTTTTTTTTTTTGCTATGAGTACAAGAAGAATATTGCCACTGCCTTGATTCATGCTAAGGCACCAGTAGGGCTTGTTTGTTTGTTTGTTTGTTTGTTTGAGACAGGGTCTTTTATTTAGTTCGGGCTGGCCTTGAACTCACTATGTAGCCCAAGCTGGCCTGGAATTCACAGTGATCTTCCTGCCTCACTGAGTGCTGGGATTACAGGTGTGCGCCACCACACTCAACCCAGCACCAACACAGTGAAAGTGAACACAAACACTGCCTTAGTATTGTCATGAAAATTATTTTCACCCCACAGACTTGGAAGGGGCCGAGGGACTACTTCCAAGTGATGTGTCAACCACATGCTGAGAACCTTTGGTGCAGTGTATAAGCAGCTAGGTTTATGTGTGGCTGTACCACCGAGAGGCCGGGTTACCTTGGGCAAGTCACTTCACCTTCCTGTGCCTCAGTTTTCTTTTCTGTAAGATAAGAGTGATCATAATTACTTAAATAGTGTTATTCTAAAAATTAAACAGGTAGATATGTGTAGCCTCTTAGACCAGTGCCTGTTACATAGTACTCAAAAAATGTTAGCTGTAGGCTCCCAGCAACTCTTCACTCCACCTACGTACACTAACAGAAAAAAAATTGTTTTTAATAACCCCTTTCCTTTTTTGAGTACATGTCTAAAAAATAGGAATGTGATTGGTCTCATTTATATTTTAAAGACAACAGAAGTTTTAGTTGCCAACCGTGATATGAATATTTTTGTCCTTAAATCAGATTCAGTCAGTTTAGGGGTAGCATGGTAAAAAATAAAAACATTACCTCCTGCTCCAGTGGAGCTATAGATGAGTCAGGACTTTTAGAGAAAGCAGGAGCAAGGCTTGCTGCCTCACGTTCCCTAGACATGTACACGGTAGGGAGTGGGAGCTGATGCTGCCCTCGTTGATAAATGCAATGCATTTGACCTAGATGGTCATGTTGAATAGTTCTAGGAAATTCAGAAAATGAGCTCATTCTGTTGAGTCAGTGGATGACAACATCAACCACTTCTCTATAAAGTATTCCATTAACAGACCAAACTTCCTGATAAGTGTTGGATTTTCACTTATTTAGTTAATGTAAGGTGCATTGTCATTTTGATACGCATTTAAAGAAATCATGGGGATTAGAATTCTTTCATTCCTGGTAAGCTCAATACGTTCACATTTAGATTGTAGGAAATGATAAAAACAATGTCTTTTCTTTGTAGAATTTGGGGAATGCTAGCAAATCTGGAACATCAAACAAAAAACCTGGTATGTACAATAATGAGCTTGAAAAATGTTCAAGTGTTTGCTTTGTCATAGTCTTGAATTCACGGTTGTGTTTTTCTTTTCAGAAATTGCTCAAGTAACGTCAGCATATGTTGCTTCTGGTGCTGAACAACTTAGCCTTGCACCAGGACAGTTAATATTAATTCTAAAGAAAAATACAAGTGGGTGGTGGCAAGGGGAATTACAGGTAATATTCTTTAACATCTATCATTTTTATTATAAAATAATATGTGCTCACAGAAAAGATAAACTCAATTTAGAAATTTGTATCTTCCCCACTTAGAGGTGATCAGTACTAACATTTCAGTGTATTGGGTTTCCCTCTAGTCTTCTGCATATTTATTTTTAGCACAGTTTAGTTGATTAGTAACATTTTAAAGAATAATTTTCCCTGAAGACCTAATAGCTTTCCAGTAATAATCCCTTAACAAACTACAGGTCATCTTACAGGAAGCGTAGTGCCATCTTTGCCTGGGACAAGGGGTACAGGCTGTGTGTTGTGCTCTTCTAGGAGAAAGACCTGCTCCAGTCTGTGTACTAAGAAAATACAGCGGTGCCTTGGTTCACAAACTTAATTTGTTCTACAATTCTAGAAAAGATGGCTATGTTTGTGTTTGTGTGGGAACAATTGCTGCAGTCACATTTGTCATTGATGTAGTTTCCAAACAAAAAGAAAATTTTGTGAACCACTTCTGTTTGTGAACCAAATTGTGCACAGACAAGCATTTGTGGACCAAGGTGCCACTGTACCACCCATTAAACTGTTCCCCGAGGAAACATAGTGCAGACATGGAAGCATCTGGTTTTTTCTTAAAATGTTGACAGATGGCTATTACATATGTTTTGATAAGGAAAAGCATTCTTTTTTCACTTCTAAAATTCTCTGGTTAAAACTTAGCACTTTACGGTTGAAAGATGATGAGAGATATAATAGCTCTATTTTTATGTTAAATTAAAAATAATTATAATACAGAAAATAAACACAGCTTCATTCTTGAGAATCAGAGCCTTAGGATTCCCAAAAAGTGCAAAGTATTCCGACTCAGTTCAGTATCTTCTTGAATAAGCCCTTGGATTTCCACCTTCTTATTTCCTCTGAAGATGGACCTACCTAACTAGAAAACATGGCTCTTCACAAATTTAAGTCTTCTCAATTATTAACAAAATGTCATAAGACATTTGCAGTGAGCTGCACCATTTAAAGTTGACTTGAACTTATTAGGACTGTATAAAAATCTCTTGGGTTATAAATATTCGTATGAAATACTCAGAGAACTCAGGCTGAACAACCTTCCAGTAGACTTCTGCAGGTAGCATTTTCAGCAGCACTTTGAGATGCGAGAATAGCAAGCCTTCCAGTTGTTTCATGTTGAGCATGATCCCCAGATAGACTAAAAAACTTCCCAATCAGCAAATTCCAAGGATTTAGAGATTACCTTCCCATAGCCAAGTGCAAAAGCCAGACTTGTATTTGGACATGGTTAAGTCCTTTATTAAATGGCCAGGAGTTTTGTCTTGTTTTGTTTTTTCAAGGTATGTCCCATAATCTTACCTTTCAGTTGTATACCCCTTTGCTAATTTTATAGGCCAGAGGAAGAAAACGACAGAAAGGATGGTTTCCTGCCAGCCATGTTAAACTTTTGGGTCCAAGTAGTGAAAGAACCACACCTGCCTTTCACGCTGGTATGAAAGTGGGTTAACTTGTATTTCATTAGAGAACTTTGCTAAAATTTAGCAGCTTCTTAAATTATCTTTGAAAGATAGAAGCAGCTGGTCTTTTCCTTATTGCTGCTTTAACACGCCACTGAGAACTTCCCTCTGAACACTTCTGTAAGAACAGCCTGCTGCTTGTTGATACGTGAACTTCCTCAAATGTTTCAGCATGGAAGGGGAAGCGGTTCGGTTGGATCTGTAACTGGAGTGGTTAGTTCTTGGTTTTGTAAGACAAGGAATGAGGGGATGAGGGGAGGAAAAGGAACAGTACTAGAAAAATTTTAGTCTGTCCAGGGATAGTTTTGATCTGTAAAGGAATAATTAATTTATTCTTTTGTTCTTTTTGATAGTGTGTCAGGTGATCGCTATGTATGACTATGTAGCAAATAATGAGGATGAGCTCAATTTCTCCAAGGGACAGTTTATTAATGTTATGAACAAAGACGATCCTGACTGGTGGCAAGGAGAAATCAACGGGGTGACTGGTCTTTTCCCTTCAAACTATGTGAAGATGACAACAGACTCAGATCCGAGTCAGCAGTGTGAGTAATATCAAATTATTTACTTCTCATGTGAAAACTTCAGTGTGCAGTGTAACATTTATTACTGTTCTGGATCAGATCTTGAACTCGGCACAGACAGCAAGTGTAGATTAATGTTTTCAATAGGTCAAAACAAAAGGAAACATTTTACAACATCGAAAGTTGTGCTGCTTTATTTTAAATATTTTTTACTAACTTCCAGTTTTAATGAGATTATATCTGACACCTGTAATTGCTGTCATGGATCCTTTGCTGTAACAGCCATCTACTATGCAAATGCCTTTCACCACCAGCCTTTTTCCACCACCAGTGTTCTTTTTTAGCTTAATAAAAAATAGCTGACTATAATTACCCTATTCACCTATTCAGAATTATCCTTTAGTATTCAGATGCCATTAATTTTACAATGTCCTCATGTATTTCCCTCATGCTTATACATCACCATCCAGGTTGGAAGGAAAATGACCTGTTTAAACCCATGTGCAACCCTCAGGAAGTGATCCTTTAGATAGCTACCTCATGCCACAAAAGATGTATAAACCAGGGTCTCATTATTTTAAAAACAGTGAGTGTTATCTGTAAGTGTTATCTCTTGGTAATTATCCAAGAAGAAATAGTACTTGTAAATCATTTTTAACTTTGTAAAATATTACTTTTCCCCATCTCTTTTATTTTTAGTTTTGCTTATGAAATAGGTCATGAATTATATTTTTATCACTCTATTGAAATTTTGGAAAGGTTGAGCCTTTCATTTGAACTTAGTTGCTAAGAACATATAAATGTAACTCAGTTAAAACAGATAGATTTATGATTCAGGGCCCTGAAGTTATTTTATACCATGTCTGTAATTTTATACCTTATTTTCACCCTAAAGCTTAAAAGATAGTTCTAGGGGAAGACTTTCCTTTAGACCTAAATTTTCCACTGTGGAGGTAGGGGGAGTTCAATTTTCATAGTTTGAACATTCTCAAAAATGGTTCATGGGGCCAGGGATATAGCTCAGTGGCACAAGCACCTGCCTGACAAGCGCAAGGTCCTGAGTTTGATTGCTGGTACCAAAAAAAACAAGGTTCAGGATTTCAGAAGAAGTGGTAAAGAAATGATAACAACTTGAATTGCCTAATGAGTGACCATTTTTCAGCCCTGCTGATGGTTTTGCCGTTTATAGTGATCAGTTAGAAATCAGTTTAGAATTATCTGCAACACCTTTCTGGAAGCTGTGAGGGACAGATGTTTTCCAGACCTATCTCTGGAAAATCTTCGGCCTGTGATCCCAGACGTCATTCCATTGTATCAGTGCATTGTGGTTTCTGTAGAATATATACCATAAAGTGATGACGTTTAAAATATTTTGTTATTGTCTTAGTGACAACCTGCTAGGAAAGTAACCTTCTCAGGAAATTGAGTGACAACTTCTCATTCTTAAAAGAAAGAACATAGTAAGTTGTCAGTAAATGTCTGATACAGAAAATAGATTGACATGAATTAGTTATCAGAAGACACACTTGCCCTACAAATTACTTTTGGCCAGGGAATGCCTTGTATACTGTTCTAACATGGCTTAAACTTGCAGCCTCACTGCCTGTTGATGAGGGCCCCATCTAAGCACTGCCAGATCTAAAAACTTTCTGCAATGAGGAGCAGTCTACACCATCCAACACAGTGGCTACTAGCCACATGTAGCTTTGGAGCATTTAAAATGTGGCTCATATAACTCAAACTTGATTTTAATTGTTAATTTAAATCAAAATAGCTACTTGTGGCTGATAGCTACTGTACTGGACAGCACAATTCTAGAAAAGAACGAGTTTTAAGCCCTACCTGAAGTAAAACAAGGAAATAACAATACTTGAACAGAAATAAGAAGAAAAAGAAAAGTTGCCCTGCAATCACATCTCACCTACACAATCATTTTAAAGGAGCAAAAGTCCCATGTGCTTTGGATTTTAATTTTTATGGTGTTTCTGGGGTTTATGTTAACATTCATTGTACTGTTCAGTTAGATTTGTAAGTGTGTTCTGTCGGTGACTTAAACGCTGGAAGCATGAGCATAAAAAGACTGTCCTTGCTCTGATGTTTCAGAGTTTAGTGGGAAACAGATATTTAGATAAATGTAACTATGCTTTAATACATATTTACACAAATATGTGTTGGGAAATGATTCCCTAAAGCTGCGTGGGGAAAAAGGCATGTTGCAGTGGGAGATGTCATAAAGGGTATTTGAGTGGAGAGACGAAGAATAAATCGTGACAGTTAGGAAGACAGATGGGGATGGGAGGACATACCAGTTCTCTCCTTGATCATTTCATATATTGAGACCTGGGAAAATAGAACGTTCAAGGGACTAGTTCAAAACAGTTTCAAAGTTCTCTTTATTATAAAACTATTAACATAACTTATCCATGTACCTTGTTTTGGGCTAATGTGTTTTTTTCAGTTTGATCATCTCTGAAAACTAAATATTGTTTTGTCTAAGGGACTAAAGTTTTATCATCCATCGCAGACCAAAAGAGTTCTCAATCCTATAATTCTTAGGAAATTTCCTAAATAGGTTCCTCTGAGAAAGTTTATTATTCCTGAAAAACAACCACTTATGTAACCATTTATGTCACTTAGGAGACCAAGGAGTATCAGTTTTGCTTACTTCAAATAATTATTTATTAGAAATTGAATAATCCCAGTTCTTTTTTCAGGCTTGTAAAATAAAGCTAATTGTATTGGTAGTTATTAAAATCACTCACATTAAGTTTATATAAGATATAATTATAATAGGATGTGGTTCAGAAAATGCTTAATCCTTAAAGTCAGGAATTGATATGAGATCTTTATTACACCTACCTAGATTTTTACAAATGAATCATCTGTTTATAGTCTTTGTATGCGCCATTAAGAGCTGGTTACCTACAGATTACCGTTTGTGTTTCCCTGGGGCTTATGAGTATTTCTTCCATTTTATTATGTGACTAGAACATTGTTAAAGGCTGAGAGTCTTAGTAGTTTGAATTTGTTGAGTTGATGTTGCATGTTATTATAAATCAAATTTTTCTTACCCACCTAATTTACGTTATGTTCATTTTATTCCTCATTTTTCTTTTTTTAGGACCCAATGTTGTCTTCCAGTTGTGAAAGCACCCCAGAGACCCACTATCCAAGTTTGACTCTAGCCTGGAGGCAGGGCAGGCAGCCCTGATCAAATATCTCCTACACAATTCAGTTACTTCGATTGAATGTTAGAGCCACTTGTGATTATTTCTTTGTGTTTCTAATTTACAGTTAAATTTTATTTGTAACAAGTTCAAGGATAGTGGGTCTTTGTGTGGCTTTCCCTTCTGTTCACTCTGGCATCCTTTAGCATTTTTCTTCTCTTTTAATTTGGTAATTAGAGGTCATTAGCATGCATATTGAGTTTGCCCTTACTTGGTGGGAGTTCAAACACACAAAGACCCACTATTTGCACAAACTGTTCTTTCTGGTTCGGAATGGGCTGCTGTGCTTTTCTAATGTTATTGCAACATGTATATTCATTACCGAATTAAGATGAAGTTTGCTTATGTTCTGCTATTATGTTTGATCTAACCCTAATCACAGTGAGCTCTTAATTGGCTCAATCTGCAATTCGCCCTCAAGTACGCGCTGTTTTCTCTGTTACTTTCTAACATGCCACTAGGAGTACCAATATTTAGATTTGTTTAAATGCCAAGAACTGGAAATAACCTTTTCTCTACTTTCTGTGTAATCAGAGTGAAGCAATAACATTTGTAGGGCGCTTCTGTTTTCTCGTGGAAGAGGAAGGTGACCTACTGTGGCAGGTGTGTGCAGAATGGAATATGCTAAGCCTGTTTAAATTGCCTAAGAGTGAGTGCGGTACTTTGGAAGTTCCTTAGGATCTTTGTGTGCTCTGGGCTAATGAAGATCCTGCATCGTGTGCTGTAGCATATGGTGTTACTTCTTTATTGATAAACTGAAGATACTGTTCTTCAGAAATGAAAGGTGTGCATCAACTGCCAGATATACACCCTTCCCTAGCTGAGGCAGAGCACTTGTATCTATATACTAGGTTCAGAATTCATGTTATGTATTTTCATCAGGTAACTACATGTCCCAGTACACAGAGGGACACTGGTTAGCATTCTCCGTGTCTTTAGTAAAGATCATAAGGACTCTGTGAGGAGTTTTAAGTGCCCCTGAAGCAGGCAACAGGCTTTAGCTAAGAAGGACTCAAGAGTGAAGGCAGGGGCCGGGGACATAGCTCAGCGGCAAAGCGCCTTCCTGAGAAGCGTGAGGTCCTGAGTTCATTCCCAGTTCCAAAAAAAAAAAAGAGTGAAGGCGGGATGCCTGCAGCCTGCCTTCCTCCGTGTCCCTGCAGCTTCTTGGAGGCCAGGAGATTGATTTTACCATCCCAGCTCCCGGCTGATCTCTGCTGTTCAGCCACATCAGCTACTTGTACATAGGATTTTCTTTTTCTTGAGTGGAGAACACTCTAGAAATAACAGGCACTGTTATAAACTAATATAAATATGAGAGTACTTAGCTGAGGCAAAAGGGAGTTTTAATAGACAGTATTAAACTATATTTGAAAATCAGTGAGTTTATGCAATTCAAAATGTTTACAAACTACATTGCAGTCTACTGTTTGTGATTAAGTATTATCAGGAAAAGTGTACATACAATCAGTCTTATTTCATCACATAGTTCTTTAAAAAAGAAAAATGTTTTTATATCTCTCAGCTTTAAGTTAGAGGCATATTTTGTGCAATATTTATGTTAATGTGCCTATGCATTATGAATGGGGATTAGCTCAGTCGTACATTGCTTAAATCATAACTTTACAAAACTTGAGAAAAATTAGCAAGTTAGTTAAAACTTCACAAAGTTCAAATATCTGTGCTCCAAAATACTTTACATTATTGGCCCTAGGGTGATATATATGTGTGCTCCCTGGGGTGGAGATTTCTGGTTATTAAAGCACCTCCTTTTGTACTATTTGGCATTGCCATCATACTTTTATAAATAAGACATTGATAGGAAAGCAATAATACCCTTTTACAAGTGGGTAACAGATTTGCCTGCAGTCTCTAAAAGAGGCTGTGCAAACATTGAGTCCTTGTGAATTCGAGTGACTTTTCCAAATTCTGTGGTTGGCTGGTCTTACCTTTTATCTCCTGAACTTTCCACTTTTGCACTCTTATAATTGAGTTCAGTTTAACGGCAATTACTTTAAATACTGAGGTTAGAAATCAGATCACTGTTAATTAATCACATTACTTGATATCACATTTTTTCCTTATAAGTTTGAATTTAGGCTTTCCTAATACACTGATAAATCATTTTAAAGAGATTCTTGTAACTCAAGTCACTTCACTTTAACACTGATAAATATGGATTATTAGCAGTGACATTCAGTTTGAGCTTAGCACTTACAAGCAATCTGAAAGTCACGTGTTCATCAGGTACTTGTGGATTAAATCACATGCTGGCCCAATATTTAAGCTGAATGTCAGTCTGGAAAATAAACTTAACTCTGTCAACTGAAATACAACTCTTTATGTAGGTATTTCGCCACCTATTTAAGAGAAAGCTGAAAAGAAAAGATGTATGACATACACTCTTAACTCGAGTCCTTCAGAAGTGCATGAAGTCCTCAATACCTCATTCAGCTGTATATTTGTTCTCTTGCTCATCCATTATAAGGTAGCTTTCAGTTTGCTTAGAAGAGAAGAGCTTACTATAGAATGTATAGGTAAGAAAACATCTAAATAAATTGGAACACTGTAGGAAAAATAAAAATACTTGCTTATTTAAGGATTGCAATATGTGATAATCATTTTTTTCACACTTGATTAGGCTTGATGGGTTTTCCAGCAATGAAAAAAATCAGCTCTAAAACTAAAGCTGATTTTTAAAGAAAATTTAAATCAACCCTGTCCATTGTATGATTTCTCAAAAAAAACTTAATTTAAAAAGTCATTTTATGGCTGGGAATGGTGGCACACACCTGTAATCTCAGCACTCAGTAGGCTGAGGCAGGAGGGTGGCCATAAGTTTGAGCCCAGCCTGAGCTACAAAGGTGAGTTCAAGGCCAGCCTGAACTGCATAATGAAACCCTTTCTCAAAAAGACCAAAAGTAATTTTGAAATAAAACTACCTAAAATGCAATTGCTATTTTGATATCATAAAACACAGTATGAATACTAGTAGTTTAAAGGAAAGAAACTGTATTGGGGTTAGAGAAAGAAATGCCAAGTCCAGTCCAAAGCTTAATTGCCAAGTTTTCTTAGAATGAAGTTTACCAGCTTATAAATTCTTGTAAATAAAATCTATAATGGAAATATTGAAAGACTTTCGCCTAAAGTGGCACTATTGGATGCTGCTGTGATGCTACTGTAATGTAATAAATTATTAAATTGTTGCAAAGTGCTGTTTTTGCCTTAAATTTTTATTTTGTGTGTCTTGAAAATTATAATATTAAAGGTATTGAGATTGTGCAAATGCTGGGCACGCTTGGCATGAGATAATCTGTTTTTATTTTTATGAAATTGTAATATAACCACGCAAGTGTGTTTATTAAAAGGACACAAACTACATCACTTGTATTGTGTATTTCTTTTGAAGCACCCTTTAAGAGTTGTTTTTAATTGTTATATGTAGTTGCGATTAAAAGCCTTTGGAATTTCTTTTTTTCTTAATACAGTGTTTGGGTATAGGACAGCAAATTTTTTATATCACAGGAGAAAAGGAAATTTTTAAGTGGTCAAAATTGAGACAGTTTTATCTGAGATAATTATATATCTCAAAAGCAAAAGAAATTTTGATTCTCATGTGCTGTTGGTCACAAAAGTAAAGAAAAATATAATAGAAGATAATAATAGACTGATAATAATAATAGACTGAAGATAATAATACACTTTTTCCTACAACAGTTTTCTAAAAAGATTCTTGCAGGTTAATGTGGAGTAAGACTTGTATACAAAACAGGAAGCTGTGTGAACAACCTGCAGTGGATGCCTGGAAGGTCAGAGTCAAGCCGAGTGTTAAACTGAGTGATCGAGTTGGTTTTAAAGGCCCCTGGGTGAAAAGAAAAACTGGTTCAAAATCTAACCCACCCTTGCATAACCTAAAGAACCTCCTTCCCTCCTCTCTGGGACGTGACCTGGACGGCCTGTGCTGAGGGGTCCAGGTGTGAGTATACAGAAGTGAGTGTGAGGGAGCCGAGCCTTAGGTGATGCACAGCTCTGAGGGCTCTGCCTGTGAGCCACACTTACAAAGCGGCATAATAAGCACAGGGACAGACACCTCCTGGGCACCGAGGGAGTACAAGAGGACTCCCTGATCTAACGTGGATGGGCAAGGCAAAGACTGGTGGTGGAGAAAGCCGCCACCAGACCCCTGTGCGAAGGGTCAGTAAGCCAGGTTTGAGGCTAGGGTAGTGGGGAATACGCAAGAGCAAGAAGCAGCAAGGGCGAGGGGGCAGTGTGCTTGTAAGCAGTTCCGAATCCTACAGCGGGAGCCCAAGCCAGAGGTAGTGAGAGTGGAGGTGTGAGAGACACACCAAGAGTTAAATCAGATTCTCAACCTTCCCAGGGGAAAAAAATATTGATGTTTCTGTCCTGATTTAAATGGCCTGGGAGTGAGCATTTTTCAAAGCTCCCTAGCGGGTCTGAAATGCAGCCCTGGCAGAGAAAAAGCAGTGAAAGAGTTCCGAGAGAAAACTGCCTGTAGCTGGGAATTGATCGGATGTGAGAGAAGGTAGAAGAATGCTTTTATTCCCGGGTTTATACCTTGGATGACGGGGTAGCATAGTTGAGTAGAGTTGGAGCCAGGCATGGTGGCACATGCCTGTAATACCAGGACTCCAGAAGTCTGACATGGGAAGGTCTTTTTTTTTTTTTGTACCAGAAAATAAACTCAGGGCCTCGCATTTGCGTGGCAGGCGCTGTGTCACGAGCTGCATTCCTCAGCTCAAGGAAGATCATAAATTCAAGCCTAACATCAAGCCAGGTGTGGTGGCACATGCCTGTAATTTTAGCACTCGGGAGGCTGAGGCAGGAGATCGAGACCAGCCTGGGCTACATAGTAAGTTCAAGACCAGCCTGAACTGCATAGTGAAACCTTATCTCAAAAAAAACAAAACAAAAAAATAAAACAGGTTAAATAACTTGTCCAAATTTACACAGCTAGTGAGTGGCAGTTTGTTCGGTGATCTGGTTTCTGAGCCCATGCTGTTAGCTTCTATGTTAATGTGCTGAGATTGCCACCATTTGTATAATATTAAAGTTTTGTCAGTGCAGTGATTACTCATAAGTAAAAAGAAAACTCAGACTGTATGGTGTTCATGTAAAAACTACAGGGAAAACTGAATATAGTAAACAAAGACAAGAATACGTAACAGTATCCAGAATGATAAAGCTAAACATAATAGTGTTATTGAGATATAATTCATATACCATGCAGTTCATCCACTTATTTTTTTACATTAGATTTTATTGATACATTTTAGGTATACATAATGATCACATTCAATATAGAGAATTTGTACCTGTACATGATATAACTTGGGTTTTTTCCCCATTCCATACCCTCCCTTCAACCCATCCTCCATTTAAAATATAGAATTCAGGGGCTGGGGATTTAGCTCAGCGGCACAGCGCCTGCCTGGCAAGTGCGAGGCGAGGTCGTGAGTTTGATTCCTGGTACCGGGGGAAAAAAAAAAAAATAGAATTCAGTTGTTTTGATATCCACAATCATGCAGCCATCATCACAGTCAAAATTAGGACATTTTCATCACCTTAAAAAGAAACTCTACCCATTAGCTATTACTCTCCATCTTCATATGCCCCCTGCCCAGCCATCAGGCTAGGAAGCCACTAATCCACTTTCTGTGTCCATACATTTGCCGTTGTGGACATTCTGTGTACGGAGTCATAAAATAGAGATTTATGACTGACTTCCTTCACTTAGCATAATCAAGTTCATTCGTGTTCTAGGGTTAGAATATCATTCCTTTTTATGGCCAAGTTAATACTTTGTTGTATGGATATATACTGTGTTTCCTTCAATCATTAGTTGGTGGACATTTGAGTTGTATCCATTTTCTGGCTATTAAGAATGCTGTTAGGGCCAGGGATATAGCTTAGCAGCACAAGTGCCTTCCTGGCAAGCGTAAGGTCCTGGGTTTGATCCCTGGTACCAAAAAAAAAGGATGCTGCTAGGAACATTTATTATAAGCTTTTGTGTGAACATATGTCTTCATTTCTTTGGGGTATATACCCAGAAGTAGAAATGGTGTGTATTTATATTTACAACAATGGGTGGTTACTGTATTCAAAACTTTTTTTTTGCATACTGGATCTCCAAACCAGGGCCTTTCACTTGGTAGGCAAGTGTAGTACTAGTACATCTCTAGCCCTTTTTAAAAGTTTATTTTGCAACAGGCTCTCACTAAGTTGCCTAGGCTGTCCTTAAATTTTTGATCCTCCCATCTTGGCCTCTTGAGTAGCAGGGATTACAGGCACTTCACCTTGGTGTATTTTTAACTTTTTGAGGTACTATCAGACTATTTTCCCAAGTGGATGTACCATTTTATATTCCCACCAGCTGTGTATAAGTTACCTGTTTCTTCACACCCTCACCAACACTTGCTATTCTTTGACTTTTTATTATAGCCATGCCTGGGGATATAAAGTAAAATGTTGTGATTTTAATTTTCATTTTCCTGATGACTAATGATATTGAACATCATTCCAAGTACTTCTTGGCCATTTGTATATCTTTTTTGAAGCAAGGGTTATTTTTTAATTGAATTTGTCTTCATAATCACTCTTTTTATTTATTTTGGTCTTTTTTTTTTTTTTATCTTTTTTGAGACAGGGCCTCGCTGTGCAGTTCAGGCCGGCTTTGACCTCACTTTGTAGCCCAGGCTGGTCTCAAACTCACAGCGATCCTCCTTCCTCAGCCTCCGCAGTGCTGGGATTACAGGCATGCGCCACCACGCCCCGGCTTATTTTGGTCTTTTTGAGACAGGGTTTCAATATGCAGTTCAGGCTGGCTTTGAACTCTCTTTGTAGCCCAGGCTGACCTCGAACTCACAATGATCCTCTTGCCTCAACCTCCAGAGTGCTGGGATTATAGGCATTCACCACCACACCTGGCCATAATCACTCTTTAAGATTTTTTAAGAGCAGTTTTAGGTTCACAGTAAATTTGAGAGGAAGGAGTAGAGAAATCCTGAAGTCTTGTATCCCCACACATGCATACCTTTCCATTTTCCATATCCCCCACCTGAGGAGTACATTTGTTACAGCTGATGAACCTCCACTGACTGTCCCTACCTGCTGGAGTCTGTAGTTTGCCTGAGGGCTTATTCTTGGTATATCTGCTGTTTGAGTTTTGACACATGTAATGACATGTATCCACCATTATAGTATTACACAGAGTAACTGAAATTCTCTGTCAGGTCATTCCTCCCTTCTCCTCTGGCTCCCAGTAACCACAGATTTTTTTTTTTTTTGGTCTTTTTTTGAGACAGGGTCTCACTGTGCAATTCAGGCTGGCCTTGAGCTCACTTTGTAGCCCCAGCTGGTCTCGAACTTGCAACGATCCTCCTGCCTCAGCCTTCCGAGTGCTGGGATTACAGGTGTGCACCACCATGCCCAGAACCACAGATATTTTTGCTGTCTCCATAGTTTTTGCCTTTTTTAAAACACTACATGGTTGAAATTGTATGTACCCTTTTCGAATTTGCTTTTTTTTTTAACTTAGTAATATGCATTTGTTTCCTCCATATTTTTATTGGTACATGTTTGCAGTACATAATGATTACATTCATGTGGGGAGTTGGTGCATGTACATAGCACACTTAATTCTTTTATATCCTCCATATGTTTTTCTGACTTGATAATTTTTTTGGGTGCTAAGTAATATTCTATTGTCT